ATAAGAAACTTCTACACTATAAAGTTTTATATAGATTACTTTACTAAATAAAAATAAGTATACTTATAAAAAGTATATAATACTTAGTAAAATAGCCTTTATTTTATATCTTTATTAGCTTTCTAAGACTAAGTTAAGTATTTTCTCTTATATATATAAATAAAGCTAGTCTACTATTATAAGTTCTTTTTATCTTTAATTTTTTTACTACTTAATTCTTTAATAACTTAGATAAATTAGTTAACTACTTATATTTAGGTATATAGCTTTAGAAGAGTATATATAAGTAGCTTTAAAAAAAAATATAAAGACAAAAAATATAAAGTTGTAATAGATTAGTATAGTTAAGTTATGTAGTAAAATGTATTAAATTAGAAGAAAAAGAAGAAGCCTCTTGTAATAATATTAATATTAATATATTAGTAATAATATAATCTAGCATTGTTAATAATTCTAGAAATATAATATAAAGAGTCTAAGCTCTAAGCGCTAAGCGTTAAGCGCTACACTTAGTATTGTTATAATCTTTACGCAAAGTGATTAGTAGTAATAAAGCTATAATAGTAGCAATTATTATAAATAATAGCTTAACGCTAAACTTTACTACTTAATATAACGCTAGAACGTAGTTTTTTTAAATAAGAAATATTATATTTCTACCTAATGAAGTTTTAAGCTAAAGCTAAGCTAGTAAGATATATTAGGAAGAAATAGCATATCCTATAAGCGCCTTTGTAGGTAATTATATATAGTTTATATAGATTTTTACTATTAAAAATTAAAATTAAGTACTCTTCTAATTATCCATTAATAAAGCTACTATGCTATTATAACTTCTATTATTCTTGTCTTTATCTCTATTTTTATATTTATTCTTATCTTTCTCTTAAATATAGTAATTAAACTAGCTAAGTAATTATATATATATTAATTAAAGTCTTTATAAAAATAGCTTATATAAGTAAGTAAGATATAACTAATAAGTAGATAATAGAAAAATAGAGACAAAGAGATAGAAGTAGTACTAGAGACTAATATAGTTAAGCTATTATCTAACTAAGCTTGTTAGGTAGAAAAGATAGCTAGTACTTATAAAATTAATATAGATGTATTAAGAACAAACTTATATAGTATTACTAGTAACTCTAATAGTATAATATAAAAAGCTTAAGCTTTAAGCGCTAAAAGCTATACTTAGTATTATTATTATTCTTCTTATCTTTATAAAGAGATTAGTAGTAATAGAGCTATTATAAATAGAATAATAATCTTAATTTTTAGTAACTTAATACTTTAACTCTAGTAAGTATATTACTATTCTATTATAAACTTATTATCTTAGTTTTATTAAGTAGTTTACTTTATTTCTCTTTAAGCTTTAAGAATAGAGCTTATAGTATTCTTATATTATATATTATTACGTTATAACTTTATTATATAGTATTATAGTGTTATTAAGGAAAATTAAAGTAGCTAAGCCTAACTTAAATAACCCTTTTTACTAATAGTAAAATGCTAACTTTTTATACTTTTATAATAAACTACTATAACTTTACTATAATATAATATACTTACTATAATAGCTATTACTAACACTACCTAAAGATCTCATAGTAGTATTTATATATATACTATAGCTATTACTATATTATTAACGTAAGCACTAATACTATAAGTATAAGTAAAAGCTTTAACTTTTTAACTTAAATCTATTCTAGCTAGTATAGAAATATTACTAATATAAAGAAGTTTAAGTTTAAATAGTCTTTTACTAAACTTACTTATAAGCTCTCTTAAGCTTAACTTAAATAAACTAACTAAATATTTATAAGCTTATACTTAGTAACTAAAGTTACCTTTAAAGTAGGTTATACTAAAACTAAGTAAATTCTAGCTACATATTATAAGGACTTAAAGTATATATTTTTTTTAAAAAATCAAGTAAGCGCTAAACCTACTTATAAGGCGCGCCTTACTCTATAGAAAGAGGTAAAGATTAATTCTTTTATAACCTACACTTATAATCTAAATATATAAGCTATCTCCTACTATCTTTTGTAACGTAAAGTAAGCACTATTACTTATAGTTACGCCTTACACTATATTAATAAGCAGCTATTAGCGTAATATCTATAGTTATTATTATTATTATTGCTAGTTTTTTCTGCTTAACACGCTTAGCTAAATAATAGCTTAACTATCTCAGTTTGTAATACTATTTCTATTTTTCTTTTTCTGTCTAAGACTATCCTTCTACTATTTATTTATAAGTAGTATTTAAATTACTTAGATATACTATCTCTAAAGCTTTATATATATATATACGTATAATTAGTTAGCTAGTTTAATAAAGTTATATAATAGGAAGATAAAGTTAAGGATAGATATAAAAATAAAAAACGCTTATAATAGTAAAGTAGCTTTATTTAACGTAATTAAAAAAAATACTTAACTTACTTTCTAAAGCTTAAGAAAAACTAGAACTATATACTATTTTTTTTTAGCTATATATATATTTTTAATATATTCTTTCTTTTATAGCTTTAAGTTATTAGCTTTAGACTTCAATAAGTAGAAGTAGGATAACTCTTATTATAAACTACTATATTTCTACTACTTTATAAGTAATATAGTATATTTAATTTTAGTAGCTTTAGCTAGTACTTATTAAAACATAAGCTTATAAGCGTTAATCCTAAAAAGAGCTACTAGTATTAATTTCTTCTATACTTTAGAGATATACCTAATGTTAATTTAAAATAGTCTTTGCTTATTTTATCTTTCTAAGTATATAAAGTACTTATAAAGCTTTAGTACTATTTAAAAAATAGTAAACAAGTAGAACTTATAATAAGTAATAGCTATTTTAAAGGAATAGACTTAGGGATAAAGTTTAATAACTATAATTTTAATTATAGATATAATTACAGATATAAAGGTAATATTTAGCGCTAATAGTTCTAGAAGCATAAGTATATTATAAACTTTTAAGAGCTACTTATTAGGTTTTATATCATAAAATCTTATAAGCTCTCTTTCTAATACTATAGTCTATTTCCTTAATATAACTTAGTAATAACAATATTACAACCTTGTAGTCTAATAAGCTCTCTTCTTTTAAGTTTAACAGCTTTACTAGAAGTTACTTAAAGTTCTTTTCTAGATAGCTATAATTAGAACTAATAATAAATTAAAGAATATTAACTTTTTACTAAACTATAAGAATACGTAAGCGTTATTGTTTTTTACATCTACTCTATTCTGTAGTATTAGCTTAGGTAAGACAGGTAACTTAATAATATTTAATATAGCTAATTAAAGTAAGTTAACCTTTCTTTTAAGTATTTTTTATACTATAGTATAATACTATTTTATATTATTATATAACGCCTGCACTACTAATAGATTAAAAAAGTATAATATAAAGCTTAAGTATAGATTATTATAACTATATTCTACTAAGAAAGAAAACTACTTTTTACTATAAATTTATTTTAGATTATAAGTATAAGATAGAGTACTTAAACTAGCTAGTATTTCTAGAATTATAATAGAATAGTAGTACACTTACAAAAGTAAAAGCTTATATATACTAAGAGAATAAAATAGTACTTATTTAGAGCTCTATAGTAGCTTTTTAAATCTATGTAATACTTATAGCTTTAGTTATAATTAATAAAACCTTTAGATAAGTATAAATATAGCTATGTATAGTAATGCTAAGTATTTAGGGATATACTTCTAGTATAGTATAATATAGTAGAACCTAATAGTACTATACTTGTGTCTTGTTACTAGCACGTTAATTAAATTAATAGTAGTCTACCCTACACTTTAAATCTAAAGAAATTTAATACTATTATATAGTGTTTTATAAAATTATAATAGAATATTAATATACTTATAGAAGTAGAAGCCTTTAGCTACTTAATAAAATAAAAATATAGTAGTTATAAAGCTATTAGATTTTTATAAAGCTTAATATCTTCTACTTTTTATTATTTTAAGATTAGTTAATACTAATATGTAATGTATAAAGAACTATACTAATAAAAACTAAATATTAGCTTTTTACTTTATGGTAGTAATATAGCTTATTATTAGATATTTTATATAATTTTATCTTAACAATATATTATAAAAAAGAATTCTTTTAGGTTTAAGTAAAAACTAAAGTTTATTATTAAAATTCTATAGTTTAATTTACTAAATATAAATATATTAAATAATATAAAAACTAGCTACTAGTAGTAGTAGTTGTAGTAGTAGTAGTAGTAGTAGTAGTAGTAGTAGTAGTAGTAGTAGTAGTAGTAGTAGTAGTTAGTTTAGTAGAAAGTAGCTTAGAAAAGATAATAAGTTGTTAAACCTCTTAAAATAAGTTTCTTTTAAGTTCTAAATATTATTACCTTTAAGTCTTTCTATATTATATTAGACTTTACTATTTAACTATTGTAAGAGCAGAGCCTAAGCTATACTATAACTACTATACCTAAAGATTAATCTCTATAATTACTATAATTATAGTTATAGCTAATTCCTAGTAAGTTTAGTCAAACTTTCTCTATTATATACTTTACTTTATGTATTACAACCTTAGAAACTCTGTAAGTAGAGTAATAACAATTACAACAAATAAGTATAAAGAGATAGATAAAGCTACGCTCCGCTAAGGGAGCGAGAAAGCCCCTCTACTACTTACATAGGATTCGTATGCAACGCTTCAGGTCTGTAGCAATTCTGGTCCTTCTGAACCCCGGGCTTCGGGCTTCGGTGCTCGCTGGACCGCTGGTAAACCGGGCCGAAGAAGCATTGACGCTGCTGACAGTCTTTGCAAATTGATGGCTTAACGGGCCGACTTGTAGCGCCGTGTCATCTCGTACGGCGTTACTCTACACCGTGAATCTTCTAATCGTGTATAGGGGCTTTGTATAAGTATACAGCATGATGATCCAGTAGTTTGTTTCACGCCGATCTGTTATTCGCATCACACCATCGCAGTCATGCACACTCTCACGCTTGTTCTGTATGCTCTTTGTCCCATTGCGCTCGCAGCCAGCTCTGGCTGTGGAAGCGTCCTACCATCGGGACTCACGCCAGGTAAATCTACCACCAATGTGACTCTGTCCTCGAAATCCGTCATTGGCAAAACAACCGAGCGTCAATACATTATCCACCTGCCATCATCGTTCGATGCCACAAACAAGAAAGCTGCGCCGCTGGTAATTGCTTTCCATGGTCAGCAGCAGCCAGCCAGGAGCATGGAAGTGATCAGCGAGCTGTCAACTCCGGCTTTCAATCCGAATACCATTGTGGTCTATCCAGAGGGCATGAATGTTCAGGCCCCCGGTGTAAGTTATTCGAATCGATATTTCTCGTCAAGATCAGCAATCAATGGATCTAATCATATGGTTTAGGTGCAATGGCTTGGAGACCCGCTGGCTCCTACATCTTCAGTGATTGACGACAGAATCTTTGTTGATGAACTCCTTTCACATCTCACATCCACGCTCTGCATCGATGAAAGCCGTATATACGCTGCTGGTCTTTCTAACGGTGGTGGACTGACTGGACTTCTGATGTGCGATCCAAAGCTCAACAAACGATTTGCGGCCTTTGCAACAGTGGCGGGCGCATTTTACCCGGACGCAAGTCTTACGGAGCCGCTATTTCAGGGAGGATGTCTTCCAAACCTGCAGGGACGAGCACTTCCCTACATGAATCTGCATGGGCTGAACGATAGCGTGGTTGCGTACGATGGCAACAACAATCCGCCACCAGCTTCTATTCCGGTTTTGAACTGGGTTGAGGGTTGGGCGAAGCATGATAACTGCTTGAGCAACCCTCGAGCTGTGAACATAGCCAGCGACAAGGTTACAGAGCGACGATGGCAGTGCAATGGTGTCAAAGATGTTGTTGTTCACAGAGCTATCCAGGGATTTGGTCACGGATGGCCTAGTCGCAAGGCCCAAGGTGAACCATTCGACACACTGAGGAACGGACCTACAACATGGGACGCTACCCCGTTCATTCTGGAGTGGTTCGCCAAGTGGAAGTTATAGGTGCACAAGTCATATCCTAGTGTACACGAATGTATTTGAGCTTCACCGTGATATAGAATCCATTGTTCTACTAAGCCGCTGATTCCTCCCCTCATTCATCTTCGTCATCTGAAGATGCTTTTTTCTTCAGCTGTGGTAAGTCGATTGCGATTACTAGCAAATTGACAATTATAAACATGACGATTGCCGAAATAAAGACCAAGCGCAGGCTACGGCTATATGCCTCGATCACTAGAAATGAAGTTAGTGTCAATCCCAGCTAGAAGTAGACTGTGGACGTGACTACGAGTGTAAAACGTTACAGAATGCGAGTGAGACGAACCTTGACTCTGATGCTTGGGATCTAGGTCGACAATGCTGCGGACCGATTTACGAACACGTTGTATGATCTATTTCGACAGGTTAGCATCGAACAGTTTTGATCAGGATAACAGCACAGCGTTACTGCTCAAGCTTTCGAAATAGGGCAATGCGTACTCTAGTCTTGTTATGACCGGACACCAGGCTCTCAAGGTGTGATGTCAAAGCATTCTGTAAGATGAGACTACTCAGTGAGACACCCATCACGATACCCAAGCTACGCCATAAGATGAGTGTGCTGGTCATTACCGCCTGATCCTCCTGTGTGCTTGTCGCAAGGACTGCAAGGCTCGTTGCTGGGAAGCTCAAGCCTTGACCAATACTCGAAGGAACCAGAAAAATCGTGGCAAGCCATTTTGGTATCCCATCCCACATCAAAGAAAGGCATAAAGCTCCCAACAGCATGGAGAGGGAGCCAACTACAATCAGCCATTTCATGCGCCCGGTGGCGGTCATGATGAAGCCTGCGGAGACGCCGCATATAGTGAGGGCAACAGAAGGGCCTGCAAGGCGAAACCCGGACACCGAAGCTGTCTCAAGCTCAACAGCTTGGAAGTACAGCGGGGCGTTGAACAAGATGGTGTTCATTCCCACCTGAGCGAAGAAATTGTTGAAAACGAGGTTGCCTCGGGGTCTGCTGAACAACATAGGCAGAGGCATGACTGCTCGCGAAGCCTTCGATTCAACTTTGACAAGAATGGCACCCGTCACTGTTGCTACCACGAGCGAAGTAATAACGACCCAATGTTTCCATGGATATATGTTGCCACCAAGGTTCAAACCTAGAATGAGGAACGCGACGGAGACAGTCAGTAGCATGGATCCAGCGACGTCGAATCCCTTGAGACCATCCTTTAGACCTAAGCCGTAGCGCTTGGCCAGGTTTGGACCTAGAGATGATGGCGTCGTGAATATGGCATTGACCAAGAGCAACACTAGGACAGGGATTTGTACAGCAAAAGTCATCCGCCATCCTAATTTGTCGCAAAGCACGCCGCCAAAAGCTGCCCCACAAGCGGAGCCGCCTCCATAGAAGAGGTTGATGTAGGCCTGGTAAGTGCCTCGGACTTCGATACTGACTAGATCGTTGGTCATGATGTTACCCATTGACAGTACTCCGGCCGCGCCGATGCCACAGAGAGCTCGCGCCGCGATGAAGCTACCGATAGTCTGCGCAAGAGCGCACCATGCGGTCGTCGCCGCAAGGACAACGAGACCAGCCAGGTACAACGGTCGACGGCCAACAGTATCTGAGAGTCGACCCATTAGTGGTTGAAGCGATGTTGATGTAAGCAAGAAGGCCGTCGATAACCAAGACGCTGAGTTTGACGCATGAAAGTACGATGTGATGACTGGATGACTTGATGCCATCAAAGTAGAATCAAACATGGCAATCTGACAGTATACAGTCAGTATTGGTATTTCGATACCTTTCCAGAACTCACAAAGTACCCGAGCAGAATGCCACCAAACACCAGTCTAAATTTCCACACCCCAACGCCTTCAAGTTTTCCATCTTTCTGAAACTTGACTAGGCTCTCTGCTTCGTGCGCGATATCGGGCCCATCATCATTAGGCTTGAGCGATGGAGCACGCAAACTGTTTTTCCTGGTTTCTGATGCTGGAAACTGAGGTGCAGCGCCCTCCCCCTGTTCCGCTACCTCTGCAGTCGTGATTGCATTGTCGGTAATTAGATGAGAGTCGTCCCGGTGGTTTGCCGAATCGGAGCGAAGAAGCGGTGTTCGCTCGGATGCGGACGATGACATAACAGCAGATGTCAGTTGTCTTTGAATCACGCGTGATTCGTCTTTGAGTCTCAGATTCACGCCGCCGCTGGGATTGGGATAGCGAAGATGAAACCAGGGAGAGCCAGGAAGAGCCAGAGCTGACAAGCTTTCGTAGTGCAGGTGCCAACGAGCCGAATCACGCTAGTGCTCCCGAATTCGCCGTCACTTTCCCGTTATCAAAGACGGCGTTATCTCGCTCTTTGCAACTCGAATCGTAGACATCCAGAAACATGAAGACACCTCTTAGAATAGCTATCCTCGAATGCGACACGCCGCCAGCCGCGGTTGTCGAGAAGTACGGCAGATATGACCGTATCTTCACAACGCTATTGGAAACCGCAGCCACGGAACTGGGCTTATCGCCGAAGCAAGATCTCGAATTGAGCGCATTTGATGTAGTCACAGCGCAGGAATATCCAGACTTGGAAAATGTAGATGCCGTACTGATCTCGGGCTCGAGTATGTATTACCCGAAAAAGCAATGTTGAAGAGCGTGGCTGATGTGGCGCAGAACACAACTCCTTCGACAACGACCCGTGGATTCTAAAGCTGGTCGAGTTCACGGAGAGACTGTTGAAGCAAGATCGGATTCGTATCATCGGTGTTTGCTTTGGTCACCAAATTCTTGGAAGAGCTGCAGGGGTCAAAGTTGGACGCAGCGACAATGGATGGGAAATCTCGGTGCTGCCAGTACAACTCACCGCAAAAGGCAAAGAGATCTTCCAACAGGATACCTTGGTATGTCTTCCAGACCCAGACGATTACAACCTGTCATGCTAAAAGTCACAGGCAATCCACCAAATGCATAAAGACATTGTCTTCGAGTATCCGGAAGGCGTGGAGAAACTGGGTGGATCACCACGGTGTTTGGTGCAGGGCATGTACAAAAAGGGCAAGCTCATCTCTGTGCAAGGACATCCTGAGTTCACCGAGCCTATCGTAAGCTACTTGGTCAAGATGAGGGCGGAGCAGGGTATTTTTGAAGACGAGCAGGCAAAGGATGCACTGGCGAGGGTCGGGAATCACCATGACGGAGTAGTCATTGCCAAAGCGTTCTTGAGATTCTTGCTTGAGGATTAGGAATAATCGGATGTTAAGCTTAAAAGATGCTTAATAGTCGAACATAGCTATGTGCCTGCATGCCGATAACTAGCCGCGATACATGAAGATGGTATTCCAGACAAAGGGTTTTCGAAGGTGGGCTGCCCCACACGCACTGGCTGACAAGTGATGAGCAACCCTGGCAGCTATAGCTAGACAGTAATTAGTCAATGGCTATTATATTGCAGATATTTTGCTCATATTTCAAATCAGCAAGACCGGCTTCGTGGCGCAATGGTAGCGCGTCAGATTCCAGTTCCTCTGGAGCATCCTGAAGGTTAGGCGTTCAAATCGCCTCGAGGTCACATGCGATCATTTCTTTTTGTCATTCTGTTGGCCATACCATATTTTTGCCAATGCGAATCGGGACTTAGCGTCGTTCTTGCATGATTGAGCAGAGCCACGGCCCTGAGTTTACCTATGCGATGCTAGCTTGCATTCTCCATTCACTCTGGTTGACACCTAATCAAGATCTAACACTTAACTGTCACATGGACATAGCACATAGGATGCTGATACGTCATAGTCACTTTGAAGCGCTGGGCATGTTCATGCACGACACTGTTGATCCTTCTTATAGCCGCCCCTGCACTTATGTGGCGCGATACGGAGTATTTAGCTATCAAAACCTTGGGTGACAACCGTACCGGAGCCGGTCGAGTATGCACCTACGAGTACCACTCAGCGCTCCTACAACTTGTCAGGACCACCGTTGTGAATAACAACAAGTGAAACGTGGTTCTTGCGCGAGAGTGAAAACGACGATCGCGTCGAAAGGCAGAGGCTCACGTCATAAACGACCGGTAACTGGCCGCTCGCACATTTGTTCCGCCCCATAAAACGTCGCAGCGGGCGCGGGACGCTGATCCATGCGCCTTCTGGAAGCGGCGCCGCCAGCTGCCAGGGTCCAAGTCTCAACCTTTACTTATCCGCCATCACTAACTACTCCCCTCCTTCACGTCGCTCGTTTTACGCAAAGCACCTGTTCGATTCCGGCCGCGCCGCTACCGCCCTCTTCCGACATATCTCTTGTAATACCCACTGTTGCTTTCCGCATGCGCATTGCTAGATAGCCGTCCTCGGATCCTGACTCTCTCGATGGGAAAGTGTACGCAACCACCCATATGCAGCCCTATGCCCTCCACACAGCTCGCACGCTGACACTATATGGTGAACAGGGAGATATGGTGTTGTCCTGGATGCTGGGTCCTCTGTAAGTTTTCCAAACAGTCGGTGTGCAGTTATCGCAGGGTCCCAGCTAACCATATCATAGGGGACGCGCGTCCATGTTTACCGATGGCTCAATAGCGACGCAGCTCGCAAGAAGGCCAGCGATGCACAACTACACAGCCTGCCTGTCATAGAAACCGACAAGAAGTGGACGAAGAAGATACATCCAGGTATGTGGGCGAGAGAGGACTCTGACCAACAGTCGTCTGACGGGAGGTGGGACAGGTATCTCAACTTTCGGCGAACACCCTCACGATGTCGGATCCGAACACCTCGACAAACTCCTCAGCCACGCGCTCAAGCATGTGCCCCTTGAAGAAGTCCCGAACACGCCTCTATTCCTGCTTGCGACAGCGGGCATGCGCATACTCCCTGAGCGACAACGGAAAGAAGTGTTGAAGGAAGTCTGTGAGTTTGCGCGCGCTACCACTCAGTTTCAACTGCCCGATTGCGATGTGCACGTGCAGGTCATTCCAGGAGAGACAGAGGGTCTGTATGGCTGGATAGCGGCGAATTACCTGC